TGTTTGGCCATAAGTTTCTCCAGATGTTGGTTGGCAAAAACATTTCTGTATGATTGTTGTCATCATTTTACTGAACTTGTGTCGCTAGCGTAATCTCCAAAAACTCATTTGTGATGTATTTCTTGTTGTTGTGTTTCCTAGAGCCGTTCCATGTTGAAACAGAGCAAAAGGTGCGTGACACAACAAGTCGTGAGGAAAGTCACATGGAAAATCTTGAAGAATGTGTGGTACGTGCAAAGTCTTTCTATTATTCAAAATACGAATTATTCTAGCCTTATAGGTATAAGAAAATACAATTGTCATTGTTGGTTTGTATACTGATCAGCCATGCTAACCCTGCTTGTTATAATCGGTATATGAACTCCAAGGACCCTGAAAGTTGAAATTCCATCATTGGACTGGTATATAGTATTACTGCTGTTCTGCTAAGCAAGCTGACTACGTCAGTTTACAGCCAGTTAATTGCTAACCTACATGTCCTGTAACAAGACACTGTCAAAGGTTGAGACACAAGCCCATGACAACTTCGAATTGGCCAGTTTCTATGCTAATAGCCAGTCTCTTGCTCTTCTTCAGAGCCATGTTGACTGTTTCTTTAAACTTTCTCACTTTTAACTGGTACTGTTATGAATCATTATGCCTATCCGCAAACAACACGTACACTGACCATAACCATTTACGTCATCATCTCAGAATGACATGGCATGGATAGCCCCTTTTTTGCGAATAATGGCATAGATAGGCCTAACTGTAACGCCCAAATATTTCTGATTTAACTTATGGTAATGCTGTTCAGTTAAAGCTGGCTACCTAAGTGTTATATTTGGACATGAGTTGCTACCCTCCAACACAATATTTTAAAGAGAGCACATCTCCACACCCTGTTATTCAGGTCTCTAGAGATTAAACATATGCACCATTAGAGTGCCATACCTACTTCAGCTGTAACCCAGGGCCAACATGAAAAAGAACAATCTTACAATAGGAAATAATGTAAGAATTCAACTTAGATATAGTTTCCTAATTTATACCATGAAACCTGACCTAGTGATGATTCATTAGCAGAAACCACCAGCATTTGAGCAGTTTGTCATTAAATTTTGGAGACCAGACAAATAAAAGTGTGTGCCTCTAACAAAAGATAAGTATGAAAGTTGTTCAGTCCATTAGATGTTTTCTCTAACCTTTTTTTTATGTTTTACCATCTCTTATTTTACAAACCAGGTTGAGCATTTGGATGAAGATCAGATTCTTCAGGATGACAATGAAAAGGAACAAATAAAGGTACCACGTGGAATAGGAATCGGAGTTGACAACTTGTTGCTTCTTTCCCATGAACTTCCTGTTCTATTTCTCAGCTCTATTGCTTGTTGCAATGCAGATATCTCAATCCAAAATCCGGGAGTGGTCAAAGGGAAAAGAAGGAAATATTCGGTCATTGCTTTCTACACTGCAATATGTAAGTGCAAGAGCATCGTTTGCACGTAATCTCATAGTGTATGATATCTCTGAATTCCCCAGGGCAATGTTTCACATCCACATTTGCAATTTCTTGTTGACTCGTCTTCTGCACTAACCAATTATTAAAATAAATACTATCTTGTTCCTACTTTATTGGCACATTGAAGGTCAATGCCAAGTTATGTACATAAAGAAAGATATCTCTTGAACAGGTGTTGTTTTTGTTAAACGAGGCTTTCCTCCTTTTTTTTCTCTTTAGAGTATGACATGATGATACCAGGGTTATGCTTTTTTTTTAACTTCATGTGCTTCTGTAGGTTCTCTGGCCTGAGAGTGGATGGAAACCAGTTCCATTGGTTAACATAATTGAAGGAGCAGCGGTTAAGAAAGCTTATCAGAAGGCATTGTTATGTCTTCATCCAGATAAGTTGCAACAGCGAGGAGCTGCCATGCATCAAAAGTATATAGCAGAAAAGGTTTTTGAGATTCTACAGGTACCATGGATTATCCCAAATGCCTTTATGTAAAAGAAAAATAAATAACGTTATGGATTGACTAGAAGTTCACAACAAATAGCTAAGTTACTTCAGGGTAATTGCTCTATACCATTTTTAAAATCATTTTTAGGGTGAAACTCTATGCTTGTCTGATTAGAAATGGTGATAGCTAGTTTGTACTCCCTCCGTTCCTAAATATTTGTCTTTTTAGAGATTCAAATGGACTACCACATACGGATGTATATAGACATATTTTAGAGTGTACATTCACTCATTTTGCTCCGTATGTAGTCACTTGTTAAAAACTCTAGAAAGACAAATATTTAGGAACGGAGGGAGTATGTGGTTTACGGCATAGCTGATGGTGGAGTTCACAGCAGGTGGTTAACTCTTGTCAGGGTACTAGTAGTATACCAATTTTTTTCTGTGAAATGCTATACAGGCTCGATTAGAGGTTGGGATAGCTAGTTTTTTCCCTTTTTCTGTGAAATGCTGTGCGGGGTCGATTAGAGGTTGGAATAGCTAGTTTGGTATGTCATTTACAAGCATAACTGACAGTGGAGGGCAGAAGTGATATTATGCAATTCTGCTCCACTGTCGTTGCCTTTTACTTACTACTCCAACCTGATTTCACTCAAATCTGTTGGTGGTTTTCAAAATCATCTCTAAACCATCTCAAAATCATTTGAAGTTAAGTATCAAACCTGTGTGAATGTTTTGCAGGTGTTATTCACTCTTATCCATACCGCAGTGCTGTACTCCTAGTATGCATTTCTAGTTGATTTTGTACAAAATAATACCTTCTGTGATGGCTGCGACCATTTCTCACGCTGATTCATTGTTGTGAAGAAAAACAGTTTCGATTAACCAAAATAATTTACGTGATTCCCCTTTTGTTTCTGCAGGAGGCATGGAAGGAATTCAATTCAGTCACTTTTGGATAGTCTTTCGTAGCTTCTTTTGTTCAGCATGTCTACACTGTTTGCGGTGGTGCCCAAATGGACGTGAATAATCTTATCCACGATAATGTGTAGACATGGTACAAAGCCATCTTTTAAGCCGGCGAACTGCGCCGTTTGAACTTGTTTTGGTGTAAATGCAAGTGAACCGACCAATGCTGCCCTTTGCTAAAAAAAGACTTTAAAAATTAAACTGTGTTTGGTTCTGATGTATTTTGATGATTGAAATTCTCCATATGCTATGTCTCTTGAAATGTTGAAATTTCGACCACGAATGCAGATACTATTTGTTCACGGATTTCACCTGAGTCTTGTGCATTGCCAGATCCAACGCAAGAACAAAATAACCTGACAAACTAAGCATGCTACTCAAAATAAGCTGAGTAATACGCATCTTTCAAACAATAAATGTTGAATAGGCTACCGAGATAAGCAAACAGACCACCATAAAAGATGACATATGGTGTGATGACATTCAGGCCCCCACATCCGGTAATCTAGCGAAAATCGATGGTGTATGACTCCACCTTCAACCCCCCTCACCCCCTAGCCTTCAGGGCATGGTTTATAGAGGCATCACCACCCTAGTGCCTCGGCTCTCCAATTATGCAAAAAGTAATCAAACCACCGCATCTGAATTCTCCTAGCCAACAGGGGTTGCATCCTAGCGGACCCCATCTCATCATTGTCTTTCTTCAAAATTCACTTCTCTCTCTTTTACCTTTCCCCTCCACCCGACTTCTCCCTCTCGTTTTTCTTAGTGGACCACATCCAAGAACCCGTCTCTTGCAGAAGAGACTCTGACACCTGCGAGGCACCCACTTTAACACCACGCTAGCATCCGAACCTAACTGGACGATGGATCACTAGGTTTGGGGCGACGTGTAGTACATGCCCCCAAGCAACGCCTCTGCCTTGAGACAAGATTTGTCTTTGGCTGTCGTGATGAGTTGAACCTCTACCTAGGAAAATGTAGGGCCCTGATGTAATTGTTTAAGTATCACCAGGGAATTAAACAAAATCACCCAATGCAAGCTCTTCCTCAATCTCATCATCAACACACTGCACCCTATACAATGTCAGACTTGACAACTCATAGTTTTGTTATTTGAATCGCCAGATCTAGACCCACCACTAGGATCAGCATCCCCCCCCCCCTTTCTCTCTTTGGCACACACACAGACACATCCCATGCAAGCCATGGTTGTAGGATCTGATGAGGTTGCTTCGTAACGATATCAGCGCTAGGCTGGATGCACGCCCCAAGCATACAACAGAGCAACAACATCAAATAGTGTCGAACAATGCGGATATATCTATAGTGAACAAAGAAACATGCCATCATGCCCCAGGCCACGACCCTTGATGTCTGGGGGACACCGCCACTACTTCGTAGTACTCATGGATGTATATATCGCAACAGACTAAAATGAGAACGGGGCGTTGACCCGTTGCTCGGCGGGTGGGGTAGCTGCCAGCCCGCCCGCGTTCGAACCTCGGCTCTGGCACGCGGCGCTCGCGGAGTTTCTCCTATTAAAAAAGCAACGAGGGTTAGCCCATGGGTTGGTCTCATTTTATTTTATTTTAAATGTGAACTATCATATTGGAGAGCCATCCGCATCAACGGTCATGGCCACAACCGCAAGCATGCATATTCAACATGACATAGTTGTGCAATCTCCAGATCAAAAATCCAGAGGGGGCATTAAATTTGTAATAACTAGAAGAACAATAATGTTGGATTCACGGACAATTAATTACGGGCGTTTTATGGGGCTCCCTTCTAACTAATTTCTCTGCCCCCCCCCCTCTCGATTTCCAGGGGGTGCAGGCCCTTCCTCCCCCAATCCTAAATTCTAATTGTCCACGTCAACCAGCCCGTGAAACTTTGTAATGACCCCCCCCCTCCGCCGTTGATGTAGCATTACTCCTAGAAGAACCATTTCTAAAATCATCGTACTTACTCCAATGGGCATTTTTTTATGAATTTACTATTCATGTGGGTGCGCTCGCATCCATGTTCACCTTTGTATTTTCGTTACAAAAGCTACATATAAAAGCCAATTAAAGGAAATAACAAAACCATATATGCATATTTCTGAATCTTGGTTAATAGAAGGGGAATAAGCCTGTCACGAACGCAAAGGCTGACACGGTCAATTCATCTCTGGAATAATCCACAGATTTGGGGTTCCCCACGACATCATCACCAACAACAGCTTCAACTTCACATCAGATGTGTTCAAGGAATTCTATCACAAAAGGATGATCCAAATGGACTACTCTTTGGTGTCACACCCGCAGTCCAATGGACTGGTGGAGCGCGACAATGGATTGATCATGCAAGGTCTAAAACCCCGCCTTGTCGCCCCTTTGGTCCGAGCAAAGGGGAAGTGGGCCAACAAGCTCCCACCCATCCTCTGGAGCCTCCGGACAACCCCAAACAGGTCATATCAAGAAGAGGTCATCACTAATTTCTTTATTAGAGAATATAGTGCAGAGTTTATCATTCAACCGTCAAGGTTTCCATACATAGAAGTTTGTACACACAACACCTAGTTTCAGTTTTCACACATGAAAATTATTAGGCACAATCGGATGCAAAAATCATTTTTCTGAGTAGGTCATCTTACTATTGGATGACCGATTTATGGTGTTGGGTATGGCTATTCATGATGTGTGTATATACTTCCATTTTTATGTGAAGATCATGTGAGGAGTCCTGACTCATGTCACATGGGAAGGCTGGCTGGGGAAAAGCCAAACACCAGCGAGAAGAGGCTAGGGAGCTGCATAGTGCCCCACACCTGCAGAGGCGAGCAATGAGCCAAACAAGCAACACACCTCAAGAGGCCAGGGTAACGTGTTGGGAAACGTTGCATGGAAAACAAAACAAAAATCTACGCACACACAAGATCTATCCATGGAGATGCATAGCAACGAGAGAGGAGAGTGTGTCTACGTACCCTCGTAGACCATAAGCGAAAGCGTTTAATAACGCGATTGATGTAGTCGAACTTCTTCGTGATCCAACCGATCAAGTACCGAAAATACGACACCTCCGTGTTCTTGATCCAGCAAGACAGGCGAAGTAGTGGATGAGTTCCGGCAGCACGATGGCGCGGTGACGGTGGTGGTGATGCTATCTCCGTAGAGCTTCGCCTAAGCACTTTGAAAATATGACTGAGGGACGAAACTGTGGAGAGGGGCACCGCACACGGCTAAGAGATTGTCATGGTTTTGTGTGGCGCCCCCCTCCAACATATATAAATAGGTGGGGGAGGGAGGAGTAAGCCAGGAGGCACCCCAAGTGGGGCTGAAACTTGGGCTCCTGCCCCTAGCCGCGCCCCTCCCCTGCCATGTATGTGTGCGGGAGGAAGGCAGGGGGAGGTGGCGCCTGATGACCCATAAGTGTAGGGGATCTATCATAGTCCTTTTGATAAGTAAGAGTGTCGAACCCAACGAGGAGCAGAAGGAATAGATAAGCGGTTTTCAGTAAGGTTTTCTCTGCAAGCACTGAAATTGTAGGTGATAGATAGTTTTGTGATAAGATAAATAGTAACGAGTAACAAGTAAATAAAGTAAATAAAATGCAGCAAGATGGCCCAACCCTTTATGTAGCAAAGGATAAGCCTGGACAATTTCTAATAATGAGAAAGGAGCTCCCGAGGACACATGGGAATTATTGTCAAGCTAGTTTTCATCTCGTTCATATGATTCGTGTTCGGTACTTTGATAATTTGATATGTGGGTGGACCGGTACTTGGGTACTGCCCTTACTTGGACAAGCATCCCACTTATGATTAACCCTTATTGCAAGCGTTCGCAACTACAAAAGAAGTATTAAGGTAAATCTAACCACAACATTAAACATATGGATCCATATCAGCCCCTAACGAAGCAACGCATAAACTAGGGTTTAAGCTTCTATCACTCTAGCAACCCATCATCCACTTATTACTTCCCCATGCCTTCCTCTAGGCCCAAATAATGGTGAAGTGTCATGTAGTCGACGTTCACATGACACCACTAGAGGAAAGACAACATACATCTCATCAAAATATCGAACGAATACCAAATTCACATGACTACTAATAGCAAGACTTCACCCATGTCCTCAGGAACAAACGTAACTACTCACAAAGCATATTCATGTTCATAATCAGAGGGGTAATAATATGCATAAAGGATCTGAACATATGATCTTCCACCAAGTAAACCAATTAGCATCAACTACAAGGAGTAATCAACACTACTAGCAACCCATAGGTACCAATTTGTGGTTTTGATACAAGATTGGATACAATAGATGAACTAGGGTTTTGAGAGGAGATGGTGCTAGTGAAGATGTTAATGGAGATTGACCCCCTCTTGATGAGAGGATCGTTGGTGATGACATTGGTGATGATTTCCCCCTCCCGGAGGGAAGTGTCCCTGGCAGAACAGCTCCGCCAGAGCCCTAGATTGGTTCCGCCAAGGTTCCGCCTCATGGCGGCGGAGTTTCGTCCCGTAAGCTTGCCCACAATTTTTTTCCAGGATAAAAGCGATGATATAGCAGAAGATGGACATCGGAGGCCCACCAGGGGGCCCAGGAGATAGGGGCGCGCCCCCTGTCTCCTGGACAGGGTGTGGGCCCCCTGGTGTATTTCTTTCGCTCAAAAATTCTTATTAATTCCAAAAAGTTGTTTCGTGGAGTTTCAGGACTTTTGGAGCTGTGCAGAATAGGTTTCCAACGTTTGCTCCTTTTCCAGCCAGAATTCCAGCTGCCGGCATTCCCCTCTTCATGGTAAACCTTGTAAAATAAGAGAGAATAGCCATAAGTAATGAGATATAATGTGTAATAACAGCCCATAATGCAATAAATACTGATATAAAAGCATGATGCAAAATGGACGTATCAACTCCCCCAAGCTTAGACCTCGCTTGTCCTCAAGCGGAAGCCGAAATCGAAAAATATGTCCACATGTTTAGAGATAGAGGTGTCG